GTGAAGATAAAGAATCATTGTATAACCAACTTCACCCCTATATTTATTTACCATCCCCTATGAACCACTCTACTTTTCGATTAAAAAATGAACGACCCCCAAAGTGACTCATAAATCTATCGTTAATTGCACGACCGTGTCTCCCATGGCAACTATTCCAGGATTCTGGATGAACAAGTTCGCGACACATCTCGGAGGTCGATTGTGGTGCCGCGATTAGGCTAATTAATGCATAGGACAAGAACGTACACGCACGCGTGACGAGATATTAGATAAATGGATCGGGTTTTGCCATCCGCTACCTGGAAATTTTACGCTCGGCTACCTACCGAGACGCCAGGCGTTCGTGTATTTTACAGTTTCGTGCTGGCACGACAAAGATCTAGCCGGATCGATCGATCGCGACCGATCATTGGGAAAAGTCAATCGTGAGCGTCGACGCGCGAAACTCGAAGCGGATACGCGCGTGCAAGCGTGCGTCTTGGCGTTTCACGCGATCACCTGTTATCACTCTAACATAATTTATTATTACAGCGTGTAATTTATTATACGCACGACCGTTTTACATTAGCAGACATCGAAGGTGTTAAATTATGCTAAGCCGAAGCTGTTGATGTTTGCCGACTAACGAGGGAAGTATGATAAATCTTCTATGCAGATTGTTCCGGAATTTATAATTAAGACTATTAGTTTGTTGTTTTTATGATTTTCTGCGGTATTAGATGGGTACATTAGTGGCCATTTATTTTAGCAGTTAATATCGGGAGATGATGGAAATATGTTTACCTTGAGTTTAACAGTTATTGACACGGAAATTATAATTAGCGTCAGTAGCATCAGACTACTGGAAATATGATTCATGTTTGTTATAGGTGAAACGTAAGCTTAATCAAAATTTAATAGAATTTTATGCGATGCTTGGATATGCTTATTCGAGGTAGCGAGGATGGCAGAGTTTATTAGGAAACGTAGAAGCAAATATGCAAATTTTTAAGATTTCAAATTTTTACACTTATAAATTTTCAGATCTCCAAACTCCCGAACTTGACATCTCCATATTTCAAAACTTAAAAATTCTCAAATTCTATATTCCCAAATATGTAGATCCCAAACCTTCAAATTCTCAATCTCCAAATTTTCAAAGTAGCACTCATGCACATCCGCATACACCAAGGTCATAAAACCCTTAAATTTCCCAGCTCCTAAATTCCTAAACCTCCAAACCCCAATTCCCTAAATTCCCAAACCTCCAAACCCCCAAATCCTAAAATTTCAATCCTAAAATTCCCAAATCCAAAAATTGCAAATTCCGAAATACCAAATTCCACCAACTCTTACAAGAACCAACCCACCAATTAACAACATCAGGAAATAAAACGTTAGCTCAAACATTACCGCAAATTATACCAATTACCGAGCTGATACGAAGGTACCTATTCGATATACATTGTTTAAATAAGCCTTTAAGTTAACGATCATTAATTCCACGTCTGATAATGATTTAATTACAGTCCGAGGACAAATGTAGCGATTCCAGTCCTTATCTACCTCTTCCAGGATGCGACTTGAAATTACACGCGCACAAAGTAACGCGTAAAAATAACCTCATGTCAATAAAGTTAAACACATATTCGAAGATATAAAATACGAGGCAACAGCTCACTATTAACCTGCTTATCAATCCATACACGTATGTGTCGTTCCCGGTACTTTAAAATACTGAATTATACTTACGACGGTTATAACTCAGAAGATACCATGAACTTTCATCACGGCTGCGTTCATCCCCAGAGCAAGTAGATAATAAAAGAGTCGAGTCTAATTACTGGCTGTCCCTTTGCGGAACAGCAATAATATTCTACTCTGCCTGCGGTTAAAACTCTATGTTGTACATACACACTACTTCTATTTGATTTGACAAGTAGACTAATATTATGCATTTATTACATTAATAGAATATTGATCGATTAATATAGGTATGTCCACGGTGAGTAATACTTTTGTGCTAAAGAATTCAAATAGCGGTGAGGTCGATGCTCTATATGTACTATGTACATTTTAGTGTTATGTAGACTTCTTTTAGTTAAGTACTGCAGATTTTTTATTGCTTGTTTTCAGTTTCAAAGGATCAAATATGTAAACTCCAAAATCTAAGTCTTTAAATTTGAAGAAGAGTAAGTTTCCAAATTTTCAAATTACCAAATACTCAAACTCTCGTATTCTCAAATTACCAAATACTCAAAACTTCGTAATCTTAAATTACCAAATACTCAAACCTTCAAGCTCTCAAATTATTAAATATTCAAACTATGAATTATCAAATACTTAAACTCTTAAATACTCAAGACACTAAATTCTCAAATTCCCAAATTCTTCAACCTCCAAATTCTTAAACCTCCACATACCCTCAAATCATCAAATTCTCAAACTCCAAAATTCTTTAAGCCCCTAAATTCTTAAACTCCCAAATTCCCAAACCCCCAAATTCTCAAACCTCCATATTCTCAAACCCCCAAATTCTCAAACCTCCAAATTCTCCAACCCCAAAATGTTTCAGTCCCCAAATTCTCAAATCTCCAAGTTCTCAAACCTTAAATTCTCCAACCCTCAAATTTTCCAACCCCTAAATTTTTCAACCCTCAAATTTTCCAATCTTGAAATTCTCCAACCCCCAAAATTCTTAAACCCCTAAATTCTCAAATCCCCCAATTCCCAAACCCCCAAATTCTGACACCCTTAAATTCTCGAGCTACCAAACTCCCAAACCCCCAAATTCTCAAACCTCCATATCCTCAAACCCCCAAATTCTCAAACCTCTAAATTCTCCAACCCCAAAATGTTTCAACCCCCAAATTCTCAAATCTCCAAGTTCTCAAACCCTAAATTCTCCAACCCTCAAATTTTCCAGCCCCTAAATTTTTCAACCCTCAAATTTTCCAACCTTGAAATTCTCCAACCCCTAAATTCTCAAATCCCCCAATTCCCAAACCCCCAAATTCTGACACCCTCAAATTCTCGAGCTACCAAACTCCCAAACCCCCAAATTTTCAAATCCTCAAATTTCCAAAAGTCCAAATCAAATCTATTAAACTTTCACAAAAATGAAATTCTCTAAAAGAAGGTTGTCTCTAACGAGAGCTAAGAACAAGTTTCCGCATCCCATTTGTTGGAATCCAACTGTTAAACAGAATCGAAACGATCAGTAGCTATAAAATTCTCAGTACAATTACTATAATGATCCGATGAGCAGTAAACCGGATGAGTTAAGTAGGATAGGTGCAACAAATCATAGTATCAGGGTTGAATTTATACCCGACGAGCCAAAAGACGGCCTTGCAAGGCAAATAAATTCTAGCGAATTCCACGTGGTTAGTATCGTAAGCTGCGGCAGAGCGTAACATTTACGTTTGCTATGCGCAGAGATATATTATAGTGATTGTATCGGTGGATGCAACATACAAGTTTCACAAATTTTCCTGTAACGAAACAACCTTACCACAGTTATCAATTTTCATGTTATACTCATGTGCAAAAAATGTACTCTATTTTTTATCTAATAACTGGATATTTTGTCTTGTAATTACTATACGTTTATTTCAGCCAGTTTCCTAAGCAATAATTTGCTATCAGTTCTTACAAGCGGAATAAATGCGGTGTTGCATAATTTTCACGTTATCTGAAGGAAAGTTTAGTCGATGTGTACATTGATATCGATTGCCAATATTTAATTACTAATAAGTTCTGTGAAGTAAATTTGAAGATTTGTGATTTTGAAAATTTGTACTCCTAAATTTTTAAATTTGATGTGTACATCTTTAAATTTTTCAGTTTATAAAAGTGTACATTTCTAAGTTTATTAATTTGAAGAAATGTATGTTCCTAAATTTCTAAGTTTCATAAGGTGTACACTGTTAAATTTTCAAACTTGAAAATCTGCAAATTTAGCAATTTGTAAGATGTTAAACTTGAGACCCTACAATTTAAAAAATTGTAATACATCTAAATTTCCAAGCTAAATTCAAAAATGTTCAACTCTGAAAATTTTTGAATTAAAGCACTCTCTGAACAGAAAAGCGAAGTGTAAAAATTGCAACCACAGTGTATGTATTTTAAGAATTTGTCAGGATTCTAGAACACCCGATACAGGCGGTTTCACCCATCGTAACAGAAAAATTTAATAGAGCTTCTATTGTTACGTGACCAACGGAAGACGCGTTATTACCTGTGCCGCGCAGCCGACCGGATGCATATTGAATGAAGAAAGCAAAAAAATATATAGGCACACGTGCCGGCTTTATGCATACGCAGTCTGAACAAGGCATTCAGAATACGTTCGTTAGGCTATACACGCACGTTTCGCGGTTCGTCATTCTCTTTCAACGTGCATGCAAACCTTAAACTCTAACTTCCACGAAACGACGCCGACTTTCGTATGGAACGACGCCCTCTGTTTCGTCCATCTTTCAAAGAAGGGAACAACTTGCACGTGCGAGCAGCTTTTACGGGCGGAGTTAAGTAAAATTCTATTGAAACCACTGAAAGTAACCAACTACAAGGTTTCAACAGGTTTTCTACGACGCAAATCGAGGAGGAATACGAATTGAACCGTTCGGATCGTTTAAAAGAAGCTACGTAGAAGAATGCTAATTCTTTCAGAATGGGTGTGATTCATAAACCACATTGCTGAACGTCTGACATTATTTGACGAACTGATATTATTTATCAAGACAAAAATTATCTAGTTCATTGAACGAAGTTAAACTTTGTTTAGAAAACAGTTTTTTTGCTTTGTATATGTAAACGTTTTTAAAATATTCTTAAAGTTCATTGTGATGAAGTATTCGAGTTTTAATTAAGATATAATTTGTGTCATTTATGTTCATTAGAATTCGTGAAAAGTTAAACTTGTAAAGAACTAGTTAATTAGTACGTTTATGATGGTAATAAAAAATGTATTACCAAAATAAATCTTTCGAGAGAAATATATAACATGGACTCACCAGCCATACATGTTTCATCCAAAGCGAATCGCCGTTGCTCGTAATCCAATCGTAGAACGGTAAATTACACCATACTTCCACCAAATAGTGTTAATTATATCTGAAAACAAATCACAATCACTCGACACGAACACACGATCCTCCGATAGAAATCAATCTGCAATTTTAAGTAATTGTTCGCGATGGCACGCAACTTTCCGAGTTGAAACAAACGAACACCTCTCACTTTCGGCCGTTACTGTTTTCAAAATACGACGCCTGACTTTCGAACACGATGCAACTCGCGAAAAAGTGAAATTTCAAAACACTGAAGCGTCGTACGGTAGTTAACTGATTTGCAAATATGCAAATTCGAAAACGTGAAATCGCTAGAAATCTGTTGAATTATATCTCGGAACTTTCTGTAGCTTTAGAAATCAAAACTTTGAATAGAATTAAAGCGAAAGAGTGAGAATGAAATGGAGTGTGGCGTCTTTCTTGTGCGGGCGTTGATATCACCAGCGTGCACGTTTTCAGTACCTATCTCACATTTCGTATTTAGTCAAGAAATTTTCTAGTTTTTGTAGACTGCGATATGTAATAACTTTATAATCATTTTAATCTACTTTTTATAATAACGCGTTTGAAAGGTTTTGCAAACTATCTTTCTGTAACATCAATTACGTCGTTTTGTAACGAAAGTCATGCAATCTCCGGTGCTTTGTTTACTATTTTTATTCGAACTAACATAGTGTTTAAAGATGAGTAAATGTACATTTAAGAATCTATATGTCGCAATTAGAATGACGTTACATAGAAGAAGGACGATCGAAAAAATGAGCGTAACGATGAATAAAACTACGTTTCTATCACATATAGCATAATATCGGAAGATTCTAGAACTACACACGCGATTGCGTTTTATTACCGCACCTCACGCGAATTCGTTATCAAGGGAAGACTCGTTTGCTAGACGTTCATTTACCAATTTCACATTTTTCACTTTTCTAATTTACATACAAAAATCACTGAATATCTCGTTAAATATAAACGTATTCTATTGAAAAACTCCAGTCAATCGCGCAATAATCACAGACGAAAATTAATTCATAGTTTCACTTTTCTCATCACATCACTGTTAGAACTATTATCAACGTTAGAAAAAATGAAAACGAAGTACCTAGAAGAAATGGAATCCTCACCGTTCAACCATTTTACCGTAGTTTCACTTTGCACTTCACGTCGATCACTGGAACCGTTTTTTCACACAAAAACTACCACCACAGATCGCACCGATTCGATTTGCGAATACGTTTAAATCGGTTCCAGTTAGCCCGCGATCGTCGAAAACAACAGCAACCAGTTCGAAAGGACGGTTGCAGGAAGACTAAACCGTGTATCGCGGCACGAAGCAACGAAAGCCTCGTATCGTATCGAGCAAGGATCCTCTGGATATCCCTTCCCGCTCTCTCTCCCTGCCCCTCCCCCACCACACCTGTTCCTCAACCCCTTCTGCCTTTCGATTCTCCGCTCATTTCCAACCGCCGCGAACAATTTTCTTTTGCTCTTCGCCCCCTTAAACCGTCTGTTTCACTTCGGCCAACGAACGATTGCTCTCTCGAACACGCCTCACTCGCGAGACGCCGCAATAAATGCAAACCAGGAACCGATCCGCTCATACTTTCCGCTCCTACCTTCGTACTTTACGGCGCCGCGCCGGTAAGAACCTACGGCTGCCAATCGCGATTTTAGACGACTCATGTTCGCTTCAAACGGATCGGTATCTAAAGAACGATTTTAATTCCGCTACGTTCGAATTCCGATTTATCAGATAGAATGTAACACGTATCGAATACGGTACTCTCGTTTTGTTGCCACCATCGAGGGTTTTCGCGCACGGTAATGGCGGAGGAGCGCCATTATGGGGTCTACGAAAACCACTGCAATATAGGAGGTCCAGGGTCCTTTTGATTGATGAGTGATAGTAGACTAAATCACTATGCAGTCGAGATGGGATGGTACTTTGTAGCCACGGGTTATACCTTCATGGAAGATCACTAGGTGTTATGTTATATTACGCTGTGTATTATATCGCGTTGCATCAGGACGCATTAGATCGTCACGAATTAGAGCACTGCGTGGTTGGTGGCCGTGAATTAGATCACTATGCATTTGATTGCCATGAATTAAACTACCACACATTCGATTGCTATGGATTGAATCACCATGTGGTTGGTCGTCACAGAATAGATCACCACACGTTTGATCGTCATAAAGTAGATCACCACGCGTTTGGTTGCTATGGATTGGATCACCATGTGGTTGGTCGTCACAAAATAAATCACCACACGTTTGATCGTCACAAAGTAGATCACCACGCGATTGGTTGCTATGAATTAGATCACCACACATTTGGTTGCTATGGATTGGATCACCACACATTTGATCGTCACAGAATAGATCACCACACGTTTGATCGTCACAAAGTAGATCACCACGCTTTTGGTTACTATGAATTAGATCACCACGTGTTTGGTCGTCAAAATTAGATCACCGCGCATTTGATGCTCACGATTTCAATCACCATGTGTTTGATCTCCTCGATTTAGATCACCACGCATTTTATTGTCACGAATTAGATCGTCACGCATTGTACCGCCATGCAATGTATGGCAACACGTTAGATCGCTGCAAGTTAGATCATCACCCGTTGCATCGCAATGCATTATATTGCCAGACATTAGGTACTGCAACATGTTTGGTACTACATCGCTTACATGAGAATGATACTCAATATTTATAATAGATAGAAATTGCACCATCCACTACAATTCTCTAGCATTGATATACAATATAATTCACAGGAATCGATATATAGCAAAAATTTTTCAAATAAAATGAAGCTTGCTTCTAAAAGCAAGATGAACAGTACCTCACTGCAATGTAATTAATTTGAAAAGTTAAAAGTATATAAAAATCCTTGCTTTTAAGTTCATATATGCCCTCTCTGAAAACTGTATACCTATCGCCACCTAACAGAGAGCGAAGGTACTAGTACAATATAACGTTTCATTTTTAAAAAGTAAATCTTTTAGCTCGATATCGTTTTTTAAAGATCATCTTTTAACTGTTTAGAAAACGATTCGATTACCACCCTATCTTCAAGTACCAACTGTCTACTACTTGCAATTGCCTCATTTATTAGAAAGATAAAATCAGTTCCCGTGTCGTTTCGGACCATTCGTCCTGCGATGTGATGAGAACCGGAGGAATAGTAAAGCATGCGACTCACCGATGGTTGACTTGCATCACTGCGATCGGATTGATCTAGGATTGCAGCTTGGCTCTCGATTACAGCTTGGCTGACGATTGCAGATTGACTCAAGGTTGATTCCATTGCTACAACCAGGCAGCTACCTTGATTCATTAATAAAATTACTGTTACAAACGATTTTATTATAATTTTTATTTTGCAATTATTTATTAACTAATTATTGCTCTTATACTTTGCAACTTCTTTGTCCGCGTTTTTCTTTTGCACCAGTCAACCAATTCTCATCAAATTTTGCACGCACATGCGTATGTACATCCAGATGGACATAGAAAAAAAAATTTTAAATCGGACTTGCCACGGAGGAATAATCACCGAAAAAATTGATCCTCATAGACTTCAATGTAAAAATTGAATTTGCTTGCGCTTGGAATTTTCGTTATTGGGAATATTGCAAAACACCCATCGTTTGATATTCAGCACGTACATTTTAAAAACACTATTTTCGGATAAATATACAGTTTTTTCCATACATCTCCGTTCAAAAAATATTCTTGGACATATCGAGACTAACTTGAGCCGTCCAGGTTTAAGGGGTGAAAAAATTTCACTCTGACCTGAAATACACTCCTAGAAATTAACGGTCAATTTTGAACTTTGATCCCATGCGCAAACCGTTACAAATAGTGCAATTTATGGATAAAAAATTGGCGCCCATCTAGCGGCGAAACGGGTGAACTAAACCAAAAAAATGAGGGTCCGAAAACGCATATAAGGAGAACAAAAAAATGAATATTTCGGAACTTGGATGATGTAGTATGGTTTCTGAGGCATTTAGGAACAATTTTCTATTAGGCTTTGATGCGTTTTGATGCCTAATAAAGCCAGAAAATCAATTTTTGTCGAATTCGGTCCAAAACGGTACAGGTGGCGCCATCTAGCGGCGAACGGCGGAACCACGAAAAACTAAAATTTCGATTTTCTCCAAAATTAGGCAATTTTAATTATTTCTGAGGGTCAGAATTTGTTCTGTGTCCTTCCTCGAACCTATATAATGCCACAGAACCTCCTCAGAGCGCTAGAAAAGAAAATAAAAAAATAGGTCAAAACATGGACTAAAAAATTCGCGTCCATCTAGCGGTGAAAGTTGGAACTACAAAAATATAAAAATGCGATTTTCTCGAAAATTAGCGAACTTTGAATACTTCTGAGACTCAGAAAGTGTTATGTGATCGCAGTAGAAACAAAGTAAAGCAGTAGAAGTTTTCTAGAAGCTTTAATAAAGAAAATAAAAAAATTGTCATTTTATGGAGAAAATTTGTGGCGCCATCTAGCGGTGGAACTGCGAACTAAACTGAAAAAACGTATGCCCAAACACGCGTTAAGGAAAAATATAAAATGTAATATTTTGCAACTTTGACGACCTAATATGCTTCTTTAAACATTTTAAAGCAATGCTTGTTGAATAAGTTATTCATTTTTTTGCCTATTAAGCCCAGAAAATCAATTTTCATTTGACCCCTTAACGCGTGTTCAGACATACGTTTTTTCAGTTTAGTTCGCAGTTTCACCGCTAGATGGCGCCACAAATTTTCTCCATAAAATGACAATTTTTTTATTTTCTTTATTAAAGCTTCTAGAAAACTTCTACTGCTTTACTTTGTTTCTACTGCGATCACATAACACTTTCTGAGTCTCAGAAGTATTCAAAGTTCGCTAATTTTCGAGAAAATCGCATTTTTATATTTTTGTAGTTCCAACTTTCACCGCTAGATGGACGCCAATTTTTTAGTCCATGTTTTGACCTATTTTTTTATTTTCTTTTCTAGCGTTTTGAGGAGGTTCTTGTGACAATATATAGGTTCGAGGAAGGTCGCAGAACAAATTCTGACCCTCAGAAATACGTGAAATTGCCTAATTTCGGAGAAAATCGAAATTTTAGTTTTTCGTAGTTCCGCCGCTCGCCGCTAGATGGCGCCACCTGTATCGTTTTGGACCGAATTCGACAAAAATTGATTTTCTGGCTTTATTAGGCATCCAAACGCATCAAACCCTAATAGAAATTTGTTTCTAAATGCCTCAGGAACCATACTACGCCGTCAAAGTGCCGAAATATTGCACTTTGCATGCGCAGTAGAATTGACACAGGTGGCTCATGTACGTATCGGAATGGTCACAGAAAATAATTAATTACTCGTTACCCGACCATTATTTATGAATTTTTATGATCGAACCATGTAAATAATTCATTGCCGACCATTCTTCAATCGTAAAAGTGTACAAAATATATCCACAAAACGTGTAATTAATTATTCAAAATGACCTCGTGTATACCGCTTGGCACCGTGACTGGCCTTAGGTTATTAGTTAATAACTAATTAATTTCATTAAAAATCTAGACGAATATGATACAAGAAAATACCTAAGGGATCACTGAACATTCTTTTATAATAAAAGTGCATAGATTGTCCTCAGAAAGTGAGTAATTAACGATTTTGCATACTCATTATCGTGTATATTCCTCCTGCAGGCCGCCTGCGCCTGCCACGGAAGAATAATCACCGAAAAACCATATCCCCGTAGACTTTAATGCAAAATTGAATTTGCTCGCGCTTATGTACTTGACTTTTCAACTTTTTTATCCACGTTTTTCTCTCGCACTACTCAACCAATTCAACCGGATGGCACGGTTGACTATTTTTGCTTTAGCGTGAAATTTACTCGCTCGCTCAACATTGTTATGTTAGGCGCGGAGCGCCTCAATCAAACAGACCTAATTTTTATAACATTTTTGCACAAATATGTTAGAAAATAATTGGAAATTATTATGCTTACATGATGTTAAGACATATTTGCAAATTATGAATTTTTTCTAATATTAATTTAAATTTTTTAAATAAATGATTAATAACTGTTACCGTTGGAATTAGACTTTACTGCCAGTGTTGGTGTTCATATTTTTTTTTCACTTTCATGCGTTGTAATACAATTTAAAATATTTTTCTAGTAATTCCCTACATTAGCAATCATATGACCAGCAGGGTAATGTTGTTCCAGTCTGTATCGACAATGTTGCATGTGATATGAAAATAGTAAGATACAGACAAGGTACCTAATAATAATTCGTAACTTCAATAGATGGGGCTATTACGCGAAAGAAATTTTGATGCGTGTATCACGCAAAAGAGGAAAGAAAACTTCAAAATCTGTTAGAAAAGTTTGGTTGTCACTATGACATCTAATTGTGCGAATAATATTAAATATATTTATCAATTACCATTTTTGGAGCGATCAGAACTTTGTAAAATATTAAATCAAAATGATAAGTGGGAAGAACTTGCTGGTGAGTCATTCAAAAATAGTCAAATTATATATATAATTTATTTCCTAATACCTTATTAATTCCTGATGCCTAGTTTATTATTAAAAAATCATATTTTATATTCGTTATTATTAATTTTGCTTAGGGATATGGATGCATTATGATGTATTTGCGATACAAAGTTTAAGGAAGGAAAAGAATCCTACAGATGAATTGTTGACGATGTGGGGCCATCACAATCACACTATTTTAGAATTGTTTGTGTTATTGTCCAAAATGCAACACTACCAGGCTATGTTACCATTAAAATTGTATGTAGAAGAAAAATATCATAAATTAATCAGTTGTGGTGAGGGTAATCTTAATAGAATACTTGAAAGACGTCTTCAAAAAAACACAAAGGATTTGAAAATTGGTATACAAAATTTTAATCAGATTGCACCACCAGAACCAAATGTGCCAAAAATTATTGTGGAAAGAAACACAAAAGAGGAATCTTATAAAATATTGAATAAACCAATGCAAGCTATGCACATAGCAGATACTCCAAGTAATTCTAATAATCTACTTGTTGGTTCTGTAGCTCCAGCACATCTTTTATCGCCTCTTTTACAGCATGGTATATCTAATGGAAAAAGAAATAATGAAGTAGCAGCTATTCAAGCAGAAACAACTCTGCCTCAAGCAAGTTATGAAGAATTAACTATAGTTACAAATGATTGGGACAAAGGTTATATATTAGGAAGAGGTGGTTTTGGAACAGTATATAAAGGTAATTTAACAAACAAAAGTAATAAATTATTCAAGAATTATTGATTTATGGAATTGTTTATTATATAGGTATTTGGAAGAACACAGAAGTTGCTATTAAAAAACTAGAGAAAAGAAGGACTGATTCAAATGAAAGTTACGCGATCCAACTTCAGCAATCACTTAGAGAAATAAAAATTTTAAATTCTTTCCCACATGAAAATATTTTACCATTGTATGCATATAGCTTGGATAGCAAATCACCTTGTCTTGTATACCAATTTATGAAAAATGGATCTTTAGAAGATAGATTATTGTTAAGACATAAAACTCAGCCTTTGACTTGGATGCAACGTCATCAAATAGCAAAAGGGACAGCATGTGGTTTACAGTATTTACATATAATTGGAAAAAAGCCTTTGATTCATGGAGATATAAAGAGTGCCAATATTCTACTTGACAAAAGCTTTGAACCTAAAATTGGAGATTTTGGATTAGCTAGAGAAGGTCCTGAGGAAGATTCTATGAAAGTAAGCATTTTGCTTTAAAAATATATTGCACTACATGTAATAATCTTTGTTGCTTATTTCAGGTAAGTAAGATTCATGGTACCAGGCCTTACCTTCCAGAAGAATTTTTATATAAACGAGAATTGTCTACAAAAGTAGATACTTATAGTTTTGGTATAGTTTTATTTGAATTAGCTACTGGTTTATCAGCTTATGATGAGTCTAGAGTACAGGATAAATTCTTAAAAGATTTTATTAATGGTTGGGAAAAATCACAGCTTGATTTACTAAGAGACAAAAAGGCAGGCGAGAAAGACAGTCAGGTTTATAACAATTTAATGATTTTGGGAAAATGGTGTACTAATTCAGTACAAAATAGACCTGAAATGAGTTCTGTGTTTAAGAAATTCAATGGATTATAATGTTTTAATATTCTTATTTTTACATCAAAGTTCTATATTTTGTAACATGTACATTTATAGAATTTTAAAGTATTCTCGAATTATGTATGATATTAAAAGAGACTTGTATGATATTATTTTGTATGTAATAATGTACATTTGTAGTTGTACAAATATTCAATAATATATTTTTATGTAACAAATTATTACAATTCCTAAGGAATCCTTTTAATTATATTAAATTGCATAATGTGCAATAATTTTGTAATGTAACCTTAACGAAATATAATTTGTATTTTAGACAAGCAGGATTTATTGTCCTGTATATACTTTTGTATATTGTGTACAGTTGTTTATTGCTATTAAAGTTATGTAAAATTAAATCTGCTTATTAAATTAGATATATTCAAAATCCTCCTTACATATGATACATATGAAGCATGTTTAATTTAAGTATGGTGTTCTTTAATATTTTTATTTAGTGTTATTCTGTATCTGTTTTTATAGATAGCCTATACAATAATAATAACCAATATACTGATATTTTTAACTTTTATTATGGAATTTAAGTTGTGGATCAGTGTATTAATCAGATATTTGTATATCTTTAATTTTATTATAAAATTTCATGCTCTGATGAATGTAATATGTGTAAGAGTTTTCTGACAATAAAAAAACTATGAATTAACATTTTTGTTATATTAAAAATATATGTGTGTAATGATAATTAATGAGACATAAATGTAGTATGAAGAAATTATGAAATATAAATTACAATTTTTAAAAACGCCTTAAAAATTATATTGTTCTCTAACTAAACAAATTCTCTCCTTAATATAAAAACTATCTTAAGTTTAACATATTTAATTTACTATTGTTGCTGTGAAAAATGACAATTTAGTAAAATTTAAATTCGTAACTTACAGAAATTAGAAGTTCCCAAAGTAAGTAGTTCTTTTCTTGTACATAATTCAAGATTTTGACTAAGGTAGTTTCAATTTCGTCGCGTAACTTGAATTAAAAATAAAATCTAGATCTTTTTAAATTATTAAATTTAATTAAGCAAGGTGCTTAATCTATTTTTTACAGTTACTAAATATCCTAAATAGTACAATATTATCATTGTTGCGAAGAAAATGTAAGTACAAAAGTGTACAAAAATTTTGACTCGCTTAGTACTTCCGGCACTGTAAATGAAAATGTAACACGTTAAAAGTTCAGCGAAGTAAAAAGAGACATTTCAACGAAAATATCGAGTTCAAGAACCGAAATACCTAAGCAATCATTATTTTCAAATTTTTGCTATCCATTTTCACCTCATCAACGACGATACATGTGAGCAAAGTCTTATTTTTAACTCGAGTCATAATGTCTGTAAAATTCATTCAAAGTCGTGCGTTATATGCGTAAATATTCGAGAATATTTGTTTGTCAACAATTTTTTATATACTGGTATAATCACATATACATTGTTATATAATTTTATATACATATGCGATCTATTCTAACGACCTTAATATTAGGTACCTTGTATTTTATAACATTTTTTATTAACTTTTTTTATATCATTTTTTCAATAAAATTTATTTTAATAATAACTTACTTCGACGAAATACTTTGAGCTGTTATAGTTTGTTTACTCGACACATACGATATATTGAGCATAGAATAAATTCATGTAAAAAACAAATTAATCGAAGTAAAGGGGAATAAAATTGAAAGTGTGCTGCAATAACGTTTTGATAGAATAACATCGATCCATGACGGGAATATTTTTAGCGCGAAACCCTGAATGCTTATCGTAACGGAGAACACTTTTTTTCGCGTTATAAGTCAGTTTAAGTACGCTAGCGTGTCCGACATCTTTACTTTTTAACGAGAAAAACAGCAACGAATAAATTTCACTATAAATCAGAAGACCTTTCGTTTTAATTTAAGTGTCTTTCCTTTGTCAATGCTTTTAAGGTGTGATTGGTTAACTAAATAAGTCCGTTTTCGAGGTGATCTTTTTAATAGCCGGCAAAATACGTATCGTTGTATATTGACCGTAGTTCAACGGTATTCTTAAATCGCAACTGTCTCTCCTTTCTATCGAAAGGGGTTCCTGTTGCTGGTTGACTGTCCACAGCATGGCTGGAATTGATAATACGGTCATCGTCACTCCCCCAATGGCCAGTAACCAAATTATTACTGTCTGGATTATTGGAAGTACGTAGAGCACCAGTTTCAAGAGGAACAACAGATCGTCCGGTACTGAAGGTATAGACTGCAAATAAATTTTTAAAAATAAAATTAAGCAGCGCTAACAAAACTACCATTTCCCGCGTTTTCCGCGCTTAAATAATTATTCGAATTTAGGAACTTTTAAACTTAAAAATATGCAGTTCGAAGACGTATATCTTGCGAATTTAAAAAAAATAAAATTGCCAGTGAATGTTACGAATATATTTTAAGTGGAATACTTACCAGATCGCTCCAGAATAATGGAACCGTAAGACCGTTGAAGGCCGAGATCCTCGAATTGTAGGTAGTTTCAGCCATAACGAGGTTGATCTGTATTCTCGAGTTAACTTTTATCGGGATTCCAATCGTCTGCGGGAAATAAAATAAAACGTGGCGTAATTGAAGGGTTTGAACAGTATTTCATAAATAGCCTAAGGATCCGTCAAATAAAAGAATGACGTGTTGATTTTTAATAAATAACTAGTTTCGTGAGCATTATGTATTATCCTATCCGATTGGGTAACTGTCTAACGTCAACCGGTTTCCGAATACATTTTCTTTTTCGCGTACTTGCAAAACATTTCGTAACACGGTAAATTTATTATAAGGGTGAACGTGCTCGTGAGAAATGCCTCGACGTGTTTTAAGTGCGCGACACCTGAGATACTTGCATAAATTAACAAACGGTAGACATGAACGAAAGGGATTAATCGGTTAACACGCGGATTAAAGGAATCAGTGAACACGAGCGAAATAATTTTAAGATTTATTTACCGGTTGCAGAACGATCTTGGTCTTGTGCTTCTCTGGATCTGGAGCGAGTCCTTCGACGTCTTCGCGAAACTTTCGGTCAGCGTCGAGGAAATGTGGCATAGACATTGCTGCTGGGATAGCTGCAAATAAAGTACGTTTTAATTACGACATTCTAAACATGTTGGCACAAGTAATTGGGTACACATAATTACTTGTTTCAACGAAAGTGGAATTCGATACCAGTAATGGTATCAGTGCAAGCTCATAGTGAGACTTAGGCACTTTTAATTTTCAAATGAATAAGTTTACAAATTCAGAGTTCTTTCGGCGGTAAATGCTACATAGAAGAAGTTTATTTAACTTTGTTCACAAGTTGCATTCAGAACTACGTAACAAGATTCTGCTGTAATGAATAGCAAAAGACTAGAAACATCTTGTGTAACTTTTCTTGTGTAATTCTTAAATCAAAGATAGGAGCTATTCTTGTGAATCTGAGACTCAGAGTGGTTTGAGTTACATTGTTCGTAAAGTTCAAAGTTTGACATTTGATGCTAATGTCTATCGTTTGCAGGTGGAAGCTTTATCATTCACTTCTACGAGATCAATGTGATATTTTCGACGGAGGACTCGGCGTACAGACTCAACATACCGTGAGTAAATTTTTTGAAAACAAAATTCTAATAATAATGTCTGTATATAAATATTCAGTAATTATGTACAATTATGTAATAATTTGATATGCTGAACATCGATTGTGTTTCTGATTAATTGTGAAATACTCACTGTAATAACAAGGAGTCATGTCAGACAATCCTCTCTTCATACACTTGGGTTTGTTTCGGCAGTAGCACTCGTTATCAGGATTTTCTTCCGGCGAATCCAAGAAATTGTCTGCCACAGTGTACAGATAGCCGTCGAGACCGCTTTCGACCCATACTTTTTCCTTGAACACAATCGGTATCGCTCTGCAGAATGCTTTTCTGTACACTCTGAAGACAGCGTGTTCGTCTAAATACGATGGGAATAATTCTCCTTCGGTAGCTCCCCTGATTCGGTTGCAAATAGTATTCCTGTCACGTGAACAATTTGAAGTATTGTTACTATCCTGCTTATTGCACTTGTGCATAATGCTTGTTTGCGTAATAAGGATTCTGCGTGGGATGTTAACTTTGAATAATTTATAACACGTTAACGTGCGTTAAGCGTCATTAACGTTCCTACGAGAACTTTTGTGTAAAATTTCAATTACTAACTCATTACACAAAATTGTGTATATTGCGCATTTTAGTGTATCTTATACAATCACACATTCTTATTATTTAGTCTTGACTATTTATATAGTGTATTAATATTATAAGCAATCTTAGTACGTGTGCTGCAATGTTTAATGCGTTAATGATCGAACACGGAGTGATCAGCGGTAAAAGTGTTTATTTACGTGTAGAAAGTACTATTGTGAAAATATATTTTCGATTACTGAGAATTAATAGATTAATTACACGACTGCGTGCAATTGTATCCATTGATCGATGAATTTTTATTTTTACTTACTCTGGATACGTTTCGTTTCCTTCTTCTTCCCGGTATCCCCATTGCGGCAAACCAGGGCTGCCATTAATACTTTCGATGCTCAGATAACGTCCATTTTCGTCGGTCATATTTTCGTTCTTCCCGACGTTCATGGTCACAATATTGTTTCCCTCGTCGTACATCTGTAATTATTAGTTGACATTTTAATTATTCACAATATCAAATTTAAAACCGTGATCGAAGTTCAATCTTTTCAATTAGAAACCCCTATATCTTATCGCTTTACATTCAGCACGAAAATTTGATGTGTGGAAATACAACTCGAACTAGTCTGTCTAATTTGTTCAGTTTTCCTGCTTTTAAAAGTCGTTGACACTAACCCTGTGAACCCTGAGACGTATACATAAATAGTGAAAGGATCAACGACTAGAAGCACATTGCGAAAACTGTTGGCAATTTGGAACACTCGGAGAATGAGTGTTCATATGTGTTTCATTCTTGTATCTGTGTATGTTACTAAAAGTGTGCGGAATTACAGGTATACAAGAATGTGTATAAAAGTTTAGCAATAGGGAAACTTGAAATACTATGGTCGATCCAGATGTGGACAAGGTTAGTTAGCTATGTCAACTTCTAAGATATTTTTTATTTCATTCTAGTCCTCACCGTTCTGGTTTTGTAGTAAGTGTAATGGTTGTAACTGGTGCACTTGCGTCAAGTTAATGATCGAAGGCTTATGCCTGTATTTAAGTCAGTTTTATCACGATCAATTATCGAGATTTTCCCTTCTTTCTTAATCCTCTTACGTCAGGGATACTCTCGATATAACCAGAACGTTGCTTTGGATATTTTTGTTAGGTATCAAATCGATCTGAAGTCGACGCACTTGGTGTGTCAGGGTACGATAACTGAGGACGCACCAGGTGTCTCGGAAAGATGTTCAGTGATAATAATTTTGTACAACAGTGAAAGTTAAAAGATAGTCGGAAACCACATATACTTCTCAGCTAAATATTGTAATTGTTTATATTTTTCAGGACAAATTAAATTCTAACTTTTGATAATCGTTTTATGATACGATCGTAATTTGCAAGTGGCTGAAATCGATGATTTTATTTACGGACAGACGATTACTCACCCTATCCAGTAATCCGAACTTCTGGAAGTTGATGAAGCTCGGCACAATGGTGCTCGCTAATCGAACTAAAGAATCTTCATAACCCCATAGATATTCGTATACGCTTATATTCAATATCGGTTTGCTGTCCAGCATGTTCACCAAACTGGTCCATGGGTAGTTAACAAAGAACCCACGGTCATGTAGCGACGATGAGATACCCTGCGAATTTAACCATCCTTGAAAATATTTCGAACATAAAGAAGTTTCTATTTATATTCACATTCTGAGATATTATTCGAAGCTATGGAGTTATAGAGTTGAGTTATTACTTACCAACATGGGTATATTTGGCACCTGCACGATATCTTTTTCTGGATCACCATTGGACATCTCTGGAATGTACACTACCGTTCTATTCGGCATGTACGAAATCGTGTTGTTCTTGTGCCACACAACATTTTCATTCACTAAAATTTCCCTGCAAACAAGGATATTGTTGAAACAGCTATATCGAAGAATAATTAGTAAAACGATAATACTTACTGATAAACGTAGGGACCGATTTCTTGGACTTTCAATTTCTCCTCACCTTTGAGGAATTCCGCCGGATTGGTGATATTGAATATGTACACTTTGATATACACACTGATAGGTGGATTTTTCCATAAATGAAAGGCCAACGAATCTGGTGCCATTTGCAATTTCTATAAAAAGATATATCAAAGGTTAAATTTGGAAATTGCAACATGTGCGTTTCTAAATTCACACTTTCCTATTTTATCAAAATTAATCTTTGATTGCACATGATTCATATTAAGTCACTACTGCTATAAGCAGGTATGCTCGTAAAAGTTGAAATGATATAATAACTATATAATCACTTACTTGTTCCAATATTAACTTCATTGGATTAATTATGTAAAGTATGTAAGCCAAGATACTGCAACTGATACCCAGTAAAAACAGTATTATGCATTCTGTAACAAAAGACAAAAAATTCACAATTATGAAATGTATTTACTTTTCCTCTTTCGTTACTTTTTATCTAACACCCAACAATTTGAAGTAGGGTAGGAAAAAAAGTTTTAAATATTTTAAATTGCTGTGTTTTTCTTTGTCGCAAGGATAAAGAAGATTAATTCATTATTCCGACTATGTCATAAGAAAATTACGTCGGATTTGTTTTACGATATTCATCATAAAACGCTACAGCGCCTGGCGTATGAAGGTTGTTACCTTTGATTACAACCGTTTCCGTACGTAAAAATAGAAAAAAAATTACGTGCATTAATGGATGATTATTGGAATTCATTATGATGTGTATTCGTATTCAGTCAACTTTTAATTCCACAAAAATGCGTCACACTATTCAAGGAATATTAATTTTCATTCGATGCAAATGTGTCAACCAGTGTTTTGACTACGCTGATTAATTGTTACATGATAATAATTATAAAAGCGGATGATGTAAAACTTTGTTAACAAATGGTTTAACAAAGAAGATAAATATTTGGTACAATTATTTATCTCGAGTTTGTTAATGAAATCACCTAATGTATCCATAACTGATGTGTGTCGACTCACAAACTGTTATCTCTGTCTAGACATAACACAAGTACACTCATTTTAAATGCATGTTTATTTAAATTCCTTTTTATTTTCAGACTCTTGTACATTGGCGCATTGACATAAGTGATCAAACATATTATAATTAAATGCAATTCCATCCCTGTTAATTTCATTTAGGAAACCACTAAATAACAAGAATGCAGATAGGGTTAACAAATTACCGTAAGTCGCCATCGATAAATTTCAACCTTCATTAGAATTTTTAATTAGCAATGATCGAATATTAACAGGTATTCTCTGATTATTTTATCACTCGCAAGTAGTTATTGGAATAATTACAAATTCTTGAAAGTCTGATTACGATTATATCATTATTTTCTAATAATCTCCTATTCCGTAATTAATGCGGAATTACGCGCAGTCATAAATCCCCTTTTTTAGAAGCTACATCTAATCAAAATGTTAATTCGTTATCGGCTTTAAAAGCATTTATTTACTTTTTTATTCGACTTCAGACGTCGATTACTTATTACAATTCTAATGTGATGAAATAATTACATGGTAAAAATGGGATGATTTGAAATACCACTTAGGAGAATATGATATCTTGATTTTAATGGAATTCAGGTACGTTCAATTCGATAAAATGATAAATTAGCACGTAGTTTTCCGTATTTACTGAAAAGGATTGAAAGCTTGAAAACCTTCGTGAAAAATACATTTCAGGTTTCTATTATATAACATAAGATTTCTTTTTATAATCTGTGATAATATTACTCTTCTATTAAATTCTTTAAATTTTTAAACGATATTATAATATTTAATATTAAACGACTGAAGTGACTAAATTAATTTTGAAATTCAGATATACCATAATGTTTCAGATCCTCAAATTTTCAAAGTACGACTTTTCAATTTTTCTAATGTTCAAATCCTCAAATATCCAGATCCACAAATCTTCAAATCCCCAGGTCCTCAAATCTCCAGATCCACAAATCTTCAAATCTCCAGATTCACAAATCCTCAAATCTGCAAATCCTCAAATCTGCAAACCCTCAAATCTTCAAACCCTCAAATCTTCAAACCCTCAAATCTTCAAACCCTCAAATCTTCAAACCCTCAAATCTTCAAACCCTCAAATCTTCAAACCCTCAAATCTTCAAACCCTCAAATCTTCAAACCCTCAAATCTTCAAACCCTCAAATCTTCAAACCCTCAAATCTTCAAACCCTCAAATCTTCAAACCCTCAAATCTTCAAACCCTCAAATCTTCAAACCCTCAAATCTTCAAACCCTCAAATCTTCAAACCCTCAAATCTTCAAACCCTCAAATCTTCAAACCCTCAAATCTTCAAACCCTCAAATCTTCAAACCCTCAAATCTTCAAACCCTCAAATCTTCAAATCCTCAAATCTGCAAACCCTCAAATCTTCAAACCCTCAAATCTTCAAACCCTCAAATCTTCAAATCCTCAAATTTCTAAATCCTCAAATCTCCAAATCCTCAAATCTCCAAATCCTCAAATCTCCAAACCCTCAAATCTCCAAACCCTCAAATCTCTAAATTTCCAAATTCCCGATTGCCAAATCCTCAAACCCCCAAATCCCTAAAATCCGAAATCTCCGTTCGAAAACCTGCACTCCTTTGCATCAAAAGTACGAAGCAGAAGGCCAGCCATTTTTCTACCACCTTGAGCATACTTCTTTCTAATAAATTTTATAGCCATCCACCGTGCACGTAGTTTAAGATTTAGTTCAAGATCGCAGATTGGATCTTCAAAGAATGATGAATCATTTTAAGGTTATACATATTGCATCTCGCGTTTCAATGTTTTCATATTTTTTCCTAATGACACGATTAACATACTGTGTCGTCGGTGCAGATATTTTTTGCTTTTAAACGTTGCCAGCGATATCATTTCTGTCAAATAATAATTGGGATGAAACTACCGGTTACAAAATACTCTTAGTAATGATTCTCTACGTCACACCGACAGTTCTTAGTAATGATTTTCTACGTGGCTGCTGATGGGCGTCAATCATGCCCTGTGATACCCCATGTGATTCACACGTCACTTGTTTACCTTGACTTAAATTCCATATTATTCGAAAAGTAGACCCGTCAAATGAAACCTGTTTACAATGAAAATTTTTGATTTCGTTGATGGACAATTATGCCGATTAATTCAGCCGGCTCGTTAATTACCGTCGGTTCATTGGTCGTTCATTAGCGACATTTGCTTTCGATGGTTTTACAGCAGCTTAATGATACATATTACCAGGGGCCGGTTAAACTGTGTCAAAGTCTTGCATCTTCTTTTTCCTCGTCCAAAGAGCATTGAAATAAGTGCCTCTATGATAATTTGTTAGTAATCTTTTTTAAAGGGTCAAGGGTGCAACTGCCATAAACGGTTTGCGATACAAGGTATACATTTTGTATTAGGCATATTATAATGCATTTTCAACACCGCTGTTAATTATTAATTTGCTCTGCCAGACTAAGTGTGCAATTATTATTATGTTGATATAGTTTTGTAAGTAATCGCTGATATAACGTTCTCTTTTATAATAAAATTAATTTAAATATTACGAAATGTATCTAAATTCCTGTCAGACTGGTTTGGTTGTTACTAAATTATTATTTAATCGTATTACTAGTGGCTGTTGGTGCGATTGTGAGTTCGATAATTCAAGTGACGATTGCAAACTTCAATGAATATTTAAACACATGTTATGTTCGTACTACATTTAAAAATACATAAATTAAAAATACATAAATAGAAGAGGAAGGAATTCAGTATACGTAAATCATATTGTCACTGACATCAGGCTATAATAATTCATAATTGTCGATATATTAAGTTAGTCAACAAATGCTTTTGAGGTCCATGTGTTTCACAATGGTAAAAAAATTAATCTAGCGTGCATAGATCATTTAAGAGTAAAAAGTTGGTAATTCATTATTGCGATAGGTGTTGCTGCTTTAATTGTATGATTGGTGTTAATAACAGTCATTCCGTAATTAAAGTCCGAAGAAATTGATTATTACTTATTGATGATATTAATTACAGAGTGCATTGAACGAATATAAAATCGAAAGTAAAAAGGAAATATTATTGTGAAAATATCGTGCGCTGATATAATTATCAGACGCGCGAACATTCTCAACAAACTCGCAAACTATCGTCTGGAAACGTAATTCATTTGTCAAACAGAAGAGACTACTAATTATTACAATTTTTTCTTCGGTGATTACTTGTTTACCAGGAAACGAAGCACATATCTGTTAAACCTTACCTATACATATATCTATATTTTACTGATAAATCGCATTGCGAAGGATACATTATCGTTGCACAATGATGAATGAAAGAAGCAATAAACAAGGAGGAAAGTGCATACTGCACGTTCTAATGCGATTCCAGTTGACGCATTATCGAATAGAAATAATACGGTTAAAAGTGATGATAACGATTAATCTCTAATAGCAGTAAGTAATTAAATATATGAACGTGCAAATCGCACTGTAATCAAGATTTCAGTTACATAATTAAATTGATCGTTAATAGATTTTTTATTAGATTTTTTTATCAGATGTATTATTAGCGATATCTTAGTTTATACAAAGAAGTCAATTGTTGAATCTGAAAATTTATAAATTCGAAATTGTTAAGTTTATAAAATTTATGTTGATGAATTCTTAAATGCCTAAATTACTAAATTACTATGTTCCCAAATTTGTAAATCCTCGAACTCCTAAATCTCTGATTTCTAAATCCCTGATACCTAAATCCCCACATTCTTAAATTACCGAAAAATTAAATTCCTGAATTCTGTAATTCTTGAATTCCTAACCTCCCAAATTCCTAAATCCCCAAATTCTCAAATCCCCGAATTCTTAAATTCCCAAAATTTTTAATTCTGGAACTCCTAAATCCTCGAATTCTCAAATCCCCAAATTCCTAAATCCCCAAATTCATAAATTCCCAAATTTTCGTATGTCTAACTATAAAAAATCTCAAAATTCTTCAATGACGAAATTTCCAAATTCCTAAATCTCCAAATTTTTAAATTCCCAAATCCGTAAGTTCCAAACTCTAATGATTAAAAATTGCCTCCACAACCCATACAAAAGATAATCACATAGTACCACTACATTCTCTCAGAAACAATGTCATACAAATTATTCAACATTTAAACGACGTGACGCTATTTAGATACGTGCATCGTATCACTATAATTTAATTGGTCCGTAATAATTAATTACTGCAGCATATAAATATTTATATTATCATTTTCATTGTAGTTTAGTCGTCATATTTGTCATCGATGTGCTGTCATCCTCATGTACATCAAAATAGCATGTACACTCATGTTTAGTGTCATTAATCGCGATGTGTAAATATCATTGTACGAGAGCTTACAACTGCTACTGTAGATATTTGTCATTTGCTTTTTCTCTCTTTCTTCAAACACGTGTGTCGAATAGAAAATCAATCACAACCGTAATGAGTTTTTGTACCGTGAGCGTCGTTGGAATTAAGCTATAACATTAATTGATTTCACAAGAAATTTCCTTTTTAACACTTCAACGACGGGGTCAGTCGTGACCCACACTCATGAAACGTGTACAAGAATACGTTAACGTCTTGTACTGATTTGACGAGTTTGTAATGCACTCTTCGGCCGTAATTAATTTTACTCGAATGTTGAATACCCTTCAAATTGGAGTTGAATTATAATTTGCATAGTCAACGATTCTATAATACCAAATTGTCATAACATTTCAACTTTCTCTGTTTGTTTTAACGTTGCAACTGTGATTAGTTAGTGCTGACACAGCTGACAAATAAAACCTCGTGCAGGGGATTAAGTATAATTGGATGTATAAACTATCATGCCGACTATGTCTATGTTCTGACCTTGTTCTGACTTTGTACTGAAATTATATAAAATTTGTAAAATCAGGAACAAATTCAAAATTAAATTTAAATCATATTCTGAGTCATCGAAGACTCGGCACTATTTACAATGCCGTCACTTGGTCGAATTTTCGATGAAAATAATTAAATATTTCGTAACACGTAATGATTGAGAAAGATAATCCGAATGATAAATTAATGTTAATAATACAGGAGAGTTGTAGGACAAAAAGAAATTGACGAAGTCCAATTAATGACATAAGTAAGATAAATGGGTGTACACAAGGTACCGAGAATTTAATTTACCGATAATTTGCTTCGTTTAAAACTGAATAACTTACCGGGCCCATTTATTTATGAAATATCGAAAAAAGGAACGAACAAGTTCCTTCTTTCTTTTCTTTTTACGCGATACGTAAGTTACAGTGACAAATGTGGCGGTGTCACCTTCAATGTTTCTTTCGTGTGAATAGCGACATCGAAATCTTTGAACTCTTTTAATAATATGGACTCTATATTGTAGACCATGGCAATACATTGCATGGCGATATAACTCGACTAAATATTTACTTTAGTTAAATTTATCTATTCCCAAATTATCCAATCTTCAAATTTAAATTTAGAATGTAAAATGATAACTTTTTTCAAATTTAGAAATCTTCAGATTTCCTTATCTAGAAATTTAAAAATTAAAATAATTTTTTAACATATCAAGTTTTAGATTCTTGCGCATATGATTTATTATAAATATGTGATTATTTATATAACGAATATACTTTTTTAATGCAAATTTACAGTTCTGAAAGATACAACAAAATATTACATACCAGTTTTCGACACCAATTAAACATTAAAATTAAACTATGTTTTCCTAGAACTGAATCTAGAAAGGTAAATAGAATATATGAATTGCTGGAAATTATTATATTTTTATAAAGTGTCAGGTCTTCGAAGGTCAAGATCAAGCGGATATAATATCTTTCTCAACTTGCATCTTTCTACGCGTGTATATTTTTTCGAAAGTCTTTGCATAACTTCGACGTTTAATTCCGATCCGCTTTATACGAACACATACTTGCTGGCAGCTGTTCAATGGCCGAGACCTTTAAGCAGTTACGACAGCATCGTTCATGGCAATGTATTTATCTCAAAAATATGTTAATGCAATACGTCGAGTCATTGAACAACACAAAAGTGTAACCTTCTCACGGGGTTATTCCTTTGACGGTCTATTAGCGATTGACATAGTAAAAATTGGCTACGTCAATCATTACTATTTTATCTCTTATGAAAGGTGAAAAAATATGAAATTTACATTATATATAAAACTAAAAAATAGTATTAAAAAATCGGTAAACACCACATTTGAAAATAATATATTCATTATTTATATTTTATATGTTTACTATTGGCTCTATCGGCTGCGTAACAGCGAAATTTTAATTGCAAATTAGTACGGGGCATCTGATAGAGCCGGTAGCACGCGTAAATAACCCGCGACAAAATAACCGCGACAAAATAACCGACGACAAAATAACCGAATAACAAAATAATCATTCAACACTATAACACCACATATTAATTATATTCAACCAACATATTTATTATCTAACCTAACCTAACCAACACGGTTATTTTGTCGTTTGGTCACTTTGTCATTCGGTCATTTTGTCATTCGGTTATTTTGTCGTTCGGTTATTTTGTCGTCGGTTATTTTGTCGCGGTTATTTTGTCGCGGTTATTTTGTCTGCGGTTATTTACGCGTGCTACCGGCTCTATCAGATGCCCCGTACTAATTTGCAATTAAAATTTCGAGCAGCTACTGTAAACAATACGAAAGCACCAGAATGAAATCTAGAATTTTTGAAAGTCGTACCAAACGATTAAACTCGTCTGAAGCTATCGAAAACGATAATAAATGATTATTGTTTATTTCACGGCTGACGTCAGCGATGATCAATGTCAATAATGAGTTATAATGCTTTTAATGTGTTTCCAGTCGATTCGATGTATCATAAATTATTGGTAACGATACCGAAATAGGGATTTTTATCGATTTGAGGGTCAGCTTAATGACATCAGGTTCCTACAGTCAGATCGCCAAAATTCATGGATACAACTTTAGGGTATCTCATTTCAGATCAAGTTAGAATTATGGTCTGTAATAGAGACAAACAAACAAACAAATGCAAATCAAATTGTCTCACAAGCCTCTCGTTCGGTAATTATAAAGTTGCAACTCGTTTCTAGATTTTTTGTTACATATCATTTTAGTCTGATAGCATCTATAAAGTACATTACTGAATATGTATGTACGACTCTGTTTGATCTCATTCATATTTCTGATCCATTAAATTTTTAATGTGTCATAGACAGCTAATAACTATACTGACATATTATTCGTTTCGCTGAATAATAACCTTACTCGTCTAGCGTTCGTTAATTCATTAAGCGACAACTCAAGGCCCAGATTGCTCAATCACTTTTTTCTCCCGAACATCATTTACATAAATGTACACGAAAGTCATACTGTTTTTTATCCTTTCTTTGGACACTGATAATGTCTCTTTCCACGAATCGTATCGATTTTATTATACATTAGATATACCTACTTTACGCAAAATTAACGTGCTATTGATAAATGATACGTCACAAACACGTCTTTTTTTCAATACACTTCGACTTCCTAATCAGTGTTCGAACGTTTATTTATTAAACTTTGACTTTCTAGATTCGTTCATTGGTATGTAATCAATTCGTGCGATACGTCGATTTTAGTTATCGAAGAAAGATTTTGTTACGTAATTAGTTGATACTTGAAGACAAAACAAAATCAACGCAAGCAAAAGAAGACGAAATTGAAGTAAATACCCGTTTCAGGAAATACGTTAATTGTTGATTAATCGAGCTTTTTTACTCGTATCTGCAGTTCTTTCTTTTTAATCGCGTAGAAGAAAGTTATGTACAGCGCTCCATTTTTTAGCCGTTTGCAGTAATAAAATGTAACAAATTAAGCAAGTTGAGTGGAAAATGTGTGTACAACTTCGAATATATTTTTTAATAAAAATATCTAGTGTCCACACACTCTGTTTTCTTGCGGTTATTTTATTTAAATAAAAGAAATATAACGTCTTGTATTTATTACATGCTTCGCAATATTTCTTAAGTTTAACATTTTTCAATTCAAAAATCTGTAATTGCGAAGCGAAACAAAATGTGCTGAAATTTTGTTTGATCCACTGTAAGTGAAAATTTCATGCGTTTTTATTTTTACGTTTTATTGTACGATTACTCACTTTTGAACTGCTGAAGCGGAATTGGGAGTTTCATGGTTGTGACCTGGTTACTTTTCGTCGCGTTCCTTTTTTCGTCTCCTTGATCGAAGGTCCTGAAACAGAAGTCAATTGGCTTATTTATGTTCTGTTCTTTGATTATCAACGACATAATCGTCAAATTATAGCCTCATTAACCGAAGGAAAACGATGTTGGTACTTTATTCTCTGCTTTCGGTGATCAAAAACGAATACTATAACAGCGTGGAAAAAATTCAGAAACTGAATTAATAAAATAAAAATATTCTAGAATTTCATTTTTGTGAAATATATTTTCTACGATATTTTCTGAATCGCATAAATTATTTAATCGCGATCTTGAAAATTGAGGCTAATGTCCGATAAAAATATAAGTAAATTTCAAATCATGTGAAGAAAAAATTTAAAAACACAGTTGTACAGATTTTGTTGTACCTCTGCAAGTTTCCTCGAACCTATTTGACCTCTACAGTATTCAACGCAGTCTCTTTTACCATCTATGAATTCATTCATGTAATGCTTATTTACGTTAAGCAGAACGGGCGTTTATTTGAAAGAAGCAAAAAGTATTTGATTTCTGTTTAAAAGTGAATGATACAGGAAGTACAGAAAAAGACGTTCAAACAGATTCGTTATGACAAAGGTTAACTAAAATTCCTTACGCGCAAACACGCGTTCAAAGCGTTTAAGCGTTTCGCCGCAAAGTTTGTCAAAGTAATTGGCGCTTATAAAGCCATTTGCATGACAGTTGGGATCGTTCTTTCTGGATATAGAATTTTTTCTGCTTAACTTGTACCGCTTTTTCCTTCTTTTTTTTTCTTCTCATTTTTCCTTTTGTCTAACCTCTCTCATGAGTCACAACGCGACGATGCATTCGCGATTACACGTTTGTAGATCTTGGTCGCCAACGTTATGTTTATCGCGGGGATTTGCAATGTTAATCAATCGCTGCTGTTGCAGTGTTGTGCAAGCGAGTGTGAACAAAAAAGTACTCGACGAACAGCTTGTAAACTTTTATCACGCATATGAATAATTAACGATCTTTCGATACTTAATATCCGTCCGGCAGATCGTTAAATGAATCAAATGATCTTTGAACGCTCGATATAGGTTTATTCCCTTGACTCATGGCCACGGTTTCAAAAATCGGTGAAGCAAGTTACAGAAATTTCGCCGAAAGGCCTTCTATCGTAAAGATGAAATACACGAGAAATTTATCTCTTAACCTTGTACGGTCTATTTTAACTTTCTCTATGCGTCTTAGGCGGATAATAGTTAGAACGAAATGATTTCATTCAATTTTACGTCCTTATATCAAAAATTATGTGCGATGTGTTTTGCTTTTATAGTTTCAAATTTCTTTTCCTGTCTACCAGATATCCGTTTGGTGTTGTAAATATTACGGATTGGCAACATAACACGTGTCAATGTAACACGTGATTGTATAACGCACGGCAATGTAATATCGATGTAAGTAATGTGAGGTTAATATAACGTGGGATTATACGCAATACGTGACTCGTAACAAATCGTGCAGCAATATATGGCACGTGGAGGTATCATGCGGCAATGTATGAGATGTGGTTGTATATGGTGCGGTAGTATACATATGCATAACACAATGTATAGGGTGACGATATATGGTGGGGTCGATATACGGCGTGTGGCAATATATGGAACATGGCAATATACGACGAGTGACAATATACGACGAGTGGCAATATACGGCGAGTGGCAGTATATGACGCGTAGCGGTATGTGGCACTATGCAGTGCGCAATGGTACACAGCACGTAACAATATGTATAGAACATACGGCGGTATACAATGCGTGGCAATATACTGCGAGTAAATATCTGATGAATAACTATATACGGCGTATGGTCATATACGGTGCGTGGTAATACCAACGCGGCAATATACAGCGCGCAACGATGTACGATGCATAACGGCATAAGACACGTGGTTCTACAACACGTGAGAACGTCTCTACATCTAATTAAAATTGCCGGTAATTAGCACCGTATTTAATATGCATACACTGCGAAATTATTCGCTTCTTTGAAATTGCATTCGAATACAAATAACGCGAAGTATAACGTAAAAAGTTGGATATTTAAATTAGAATATGAATTTAACTTTTTCGGTGATATTTATATAAAATACCTTTATAATGTTTTTTTTTTTTTTTGAGTATCTGAATGCATGAGGAAAAATGTGACCATGCAGAATTTCTTACTCTTGTCCCATGCAAATTTACCAGAAGGTCATGGACATTTTTTCAGTTTCATATATCTTATTCCTCTCTTCGTTACGTTTCGAATCTTCACAAAATCAATTAATTAATTTTCACTGCTGTATATTTTGGAATAGTTCGTCACTTTCAATGTCGCTCCGTTGACACAGTATTTAAATTAATGTCGATCATTATTCACGCCATTATTATACATTGCATAACTCTATATTTTGTAAAAAATTGATATTAAACATTCTGAATAATTCAAGAAACTTAAAAAGTGTTCGCCATTTCCGGTATTATTAAAATCATAAATAATATTTCATCGCGTATCTTATGATTCCTCATTTTTGTAATGCCACCTTTCTTGCTGCTAATACGTCATTTATATGCTTGTTCTTAATATTTCTCCTTAATAGTAGCTTCTTTAATTTTACCTAAATTCCAAATTGCGAAATAAAATTTTACATATCTTCTAGCCTATACAAGTTCTCGAATTTGTTTTTAAATCACGATTTTTACTACGTGTATTCATAGTATAAATTACATTTGTCAACTTATGAAGACTTATTATTTTAACAGGTTGCATTACTGTGCAGTTTTTAATCAATGAATCCGTAGAAGAAACTTTAAGTATTGTAAGTGGAATTACTATCCATTATCATTTGAACTTCATTGAGTGATTTCAATGCTTGGTAAGAAGAACTTTAGAAACGCTTCGAATTACGACTAAGAAATCTTGACAGAAATGTATGTTGTATTAATTACGCCTCGTTAAAAATCGCATTCCTTAATAATACGGATGTTTATAACATAGTACTTCTTTAAATGATTGATATGTTACACGATGGAGCAGCTTGTTTGTTCGAAGTAAAGACGTCACAAAAACTTATGTTTACGTTTGATCCTTTTTCGTTTTTCTGCTTAAGAAAGAAACATTAAGTTGTGTCAAGTTTTTAATTAATGAATGGGACGAATTCTCAAAATATTTACGTACACATGACATCATTTAAACTAGAGTATTGATGATTAATTTCGTGAATGAAAAATTTGAAATTTCTGTATTCGCGAATATTTAAATAGATAGATACCAGATTATCAGACTATTAAAAAATTATTTATTTCTTGTGTAAAATGTCTAAATTATTTATTTTTTAACTATATTATAATTTATGTATCTTTATATTTTTAGAATTTGAAATTTGGATAAAGAATTTATGCAAACTAAATATAATAGTGGACTATCGAATGTCGCCATTTTTTTAAGGGAACCGTACCCTCAATTGCGTCATCACTTCAAATACAACCCATGTTTGCAGAATTCCTTACATTCTGTTCGCAGACTTTTTATAAATTTTATCTAAAACCAATTAATTCATTCATGTGCAATGTGGTATAATTAACGCATTACATATTATGTTCGATAGAATTTATCGTGTGTTAATTAGTAAGTTTGTAATTAAGTTCGTCCATGTATTAGCAAATTCATTAGTATAATTGGGGAAGCAATAATTAATTGTTTAATGATACTACGGTAAAATTCACGTGAGTTTACGAATCTGTAGAAAAACGCTGCTAACCTAATTTATACAATAGGATAATAGTAAGAATAATATAATTCTAGATACTTTAGAGACAAGATACGGTTTTTACTAAGAAAAATGGCAATTTTCGGGAAGCCCTTTTACTTGTGCAAGATAATGGATTTTTTATGAGAAATCTTAAGAGTTACAATTCCTGAGGCTTTTTAATTTATCAACTTCTAAATCTGCAAATTTTTTCATTTCTAAAATTGCAAGTTTTTAAGTTTCTACAATTTCAAATTTTCATGCTTCCAAATTTAATTTTCTGTGATTCCAGAGTTATCAAGTTTGCGAATTCCCAAGTACCTGAATATTCAAATTTCCATACTTCTTAATTTCTGTAATTCCAGAATTATTAAGTTTGTAAACTTCCAAGTGCCTAAATTTTCAAATTTCCATACTTCTAAATTTAATTTCTGTAATTCCAGAATTATCAAGTTTGTAAACTTCCAAGTACCTGAATTTTCAAATTTCCATACTTCTAAATTTAATTTCTGTAATTCCAGAATTATCAAGTTTGTAAACTTCCAAGTACCTGAATTTTCAAATTTCCATACTTCTAAATTTAATTTCTGTAATTCCAGAATTATCAAGTTTGTAAACTTCCAAGTACCTGAATTTTCAAATTTCCATACTTCTAAATTTAATTTCTGTAATTCCAGAATTATCAAGTTTGTAAACTTCCAAGTACCTGAATTTTCAAATTTCCATACTTCTAAATTTAATTTCTGTAATTCCAGAATTATCAAGTTTGTAAACTTCCAAGTACCTGAATTTTCAAATTTCCATACTTCTAAATTTAATTTCTGTAATTCCAGAATTATCAAGTTTGTAAACTTCCAAGTACCTGAATTTTCAAATTTCCATACTTCTAAATTTAATTTCTGTAATTCCAGAATTATCAAGTTTGTAAACTTCCAAGTACCTGAATTTTCAAATTTCCATACTTCTAAATTTAATTTCTGTAATTCCAGAATTATCAAGTTTGTAAACTTCCAAGTACCTGAATTTTCAAATTTCCATACTTCTAAATTTAATTTCTGTAATTCCAGAATTATCAAGTTTGTAAACTTCCAAGTACCTGAATATTCAAATTTCCATACTTCTAAATTTAATTTCTGTAATTCCAGAATTATCAAGTTTGCAAACTCCCAAGTATCTCAATTTTCAAATTTCCAAACTTTTTATTTATTCCTTTTTTACTTTCGAATTTTCACCATTTCCACTTTTCTCCAATCTTCAAATTTTCAAACTTCTACATTTCCATACCTGGAAAACTCCTATTATCCTGAGAGGAAACGCATCTTTCGTTACATCTGCATCATCCTTAGGGAAAACCAGCGTGAGCGGCACGTGTAAATATAACCCGTTTGACCCGATCAATAGGTTTCCCAAGCATGATAAACTAAGTGATCCTTGTAGAACGAGCTGTTTTGTCATCTTTCAATATGCGTCTTGCATTTGATATCGGAGCACAAAACGAAAGAGAGTGCGCTTATGCAGAATCGTACGTGATGCGCGTGTCTATCAATCTCTCGGTAGAATCAGAGCTACTAAGCTCTTCAGAGAAGATATATTCCGTATATTAAAGAACATGCCATGGTTTTTCACCGATTATTCCCCGCCGATTGTAAATTGAACAGTCTTTGTCCAGTCTTTGACCAAGCAATATTTTGTCACGACCGGATTATGTTCTCTTTTCTCATCGTATACGTTCAGATCAACGTGTACGAAACAGGAAATTCTTATTCAAACACGATCACCTTCTGGTCATCCAAGGTACAATATCGTATGCTACGACAGATAAAAACATCTCGCATAGCATTTTATTGTCAGTTCGGTGCTTGAAAATGCAATTCTGGTTCTCGCAAAATCAGAGCAGATAACACACGTTTTTTAACTGAGACGTTTATTTTTTAGTCTGTGTCATGCGGTACCTTGTTGAGCTATTTTTGTAGTGAAAAAGAATTACTAGGGTACAAGATATACGTTCAAATCGTGATTGCAACATTTTTGGTCGAGGATTATCGAAATCGTGATATACTTTCTTTGGTGTGGAGATCATTCAAGTTTTAGAGCAAAGTTTTTTCAATTTTTGTGTTACACTAATCACTTGCATATGTAAGTTCTACTAGGATTACGAATAATCGTAAACTTAATTTTTTTAAATATTTAATGTACGAATATGTACAAAGATATTTATAAATATGTTCATTTCTAGTGAAGTGTACTTGATAAATTCAAGTTAGCGTTGCCTGATAAAACTGACGAAAATACAAAATTTCTGTCAACGTTTAATAATAATTTTTGTCAGTTGAGATTCTACATTTTGTCTAGCAAATTACTACAAAATTATTGTATATCGGTTACCAAAACCACCAATGATTTTTATAACTTGTAAAATACATTTCATAATTAACTTCAAAACACCCACTCCACTTAAAATCTGACATAAGGAAATAAAATTTCTTAAGGTACTTACCGAATAAGTACGACTTGATTGTTCACAAATAAAACTAAACAGCACCAAACGACACTTTTCACACTTGCACAAATCACAGTCGTTAACACAGAGACCTTTTCGGTGATATACCACGAAAGTTCAATTAAAACACGATACTTGTTGTTTAGCTAATGTTTATAAAATATAAGTTGTAAGCAGTGAGTAGCCGCTTTTGTAGCTTCTCCCTCAATCTTGTTATTAGTGAGCATGAATCTTGTGTTCACTCTGCTTTATACTGTCTCCTGATCACTAACCCCCATACGAGCACACCGCCGAAGACAACGTCTACAACTTTTCTCCTTGCCGTCCTACCGGCACTGGTGGTTATAACGACGTTCGCCGGTACGCGTTTAATCACTTTTCAACCGTACTCAAATCAGTCGAATCTGTTTTTCATACCAACGCGGAAAAATTTCTTCGGGCACGGTATAAACGATTATTTTACACGAGACGGATTGCTGGAATCGAACGGGGAGATTGCGACCTAATTTTGCAACGATCTTGCTATGAAGGTTGATATCTTTCGTATTTATTATTTATTTCATTGCTCAGTAATTTTCGCATAATGCTTTGAGACACGCGAGGTGCTGCTTTTATTCGAAATTGCTTGCTGTTCATTCACTTATCGAAATTGTATTACAATCGCACGTATGTGGCGCAATTAACGCTTTTGTTTGGAGTGGAAATTTGATAATGCGAGAAGTTGACAATTTGGGAATTTAGGGATTTCGGGATTTGGGGATTTAGAAATTTGAGAAGCTGGAAGCCTGATAATTTGGGAATTTGGGAATTGGGGAATTGGGGAATTTGGGAATTTGGAAATTTGATAATTTAGGATTTGGCTTTTTGGAAATTTGGGGAGGTGGAAATCTAATGATTTGGAAATTTAGTCATTTAGGAACTTGGGATTTTTGAAATTTGTGGATTCAGAAATTTGATCATTTAGGAATTTAGGAATGGAAATTGGGAATTTGGGAATTTGGAAATTTGATAATTTAGGATTTGGCTTTTTGGAAATTTGGGGAGGTGGAAATCTAATGATTTGGAAATTTAGTCATTTAGGAACTTGGGATTTTTTAAATTTGTGGATTCAGAAATTTGATCATTTAGGAATTTAGGTACTTAGAAATTTGGGGATTTGGGAATTTGGAAATTTGGGAATTTGGAAATTTG